AAACAAGGAAGCCGTCGATGCCTTCTCGAAGTTGGGGATGGCCGGTCAGTGTTAGGTGGTACAGTACATCATGCTGAGGTCGATCAAAACCTGTCTGTCTGCTCGGCAGCATCATGGAAGCGATCCACCCGAATTGACGTCGCGAACCGATGTCTGACAGTGGTTCCAGATAGGGAAAGGAGTCTACGTGTAGTTGCCTTTGGCCTCAACGGCGCCCAAAGGCGGAATTGACCCAGCATTGAGGTGACAGGTTGCCACCCACTGGTTCAGCAAACTGGTGCGGCCGGGTGTCAGACTTGAGACCAAGGACGTGGGATGCAGGGCAAAGCGCCGAAGTTGGACAACCGCCAGCGCATCGAGGCCGATTCCGGGAACATCCAGCCCCCAACCCGAAAAGTCGGTGTGGACCCACCTCAGCTGGCCTCTCGACCTCATCGCCATCGCATACCGCCCATGGCGGTAAGCGGAGGTAGTCGTCAATTCGTCAAGGTGATTTCTGCGGCTCAAGACAGCATAAACACTATTGTTGACAGTTATACACAGAGTGAAGCGGCTTTCCTTTCTCCCTTGTCTTGCTGGCCCTAAGTACTGAGTACGTGGTAACAGCGTTAGTGGACACCACACGAATCTTCGGGAATGCTTCCCATCACGAGCTGCGTTTCGGCCAGTGCCCCGCGGAATGGGAGAATACGATATATGCCTCTCTCACTAAGAGAGCCGGCGGAGCGGCGATTGATGATCGAGCTCCCCATGGTCAAAAAGCCGTATACCAGACTCACTCCGATAGTTTGAGCAATAAGAAGTCAAACAAAAGAATCAAATCTAAAAGAGAAGAGAGAAGAAAAACAAGAAGGATAAAAAACAGAGAGAGGGAAATAGGAACAGAAAGAAAGAAGGGGAAGAAAGAAAGGGAAAGAAACGGGAGTACTACTAGTGTCCAGCAGCCGAATGAATTCATCCCGTCTCCGGAGGTCTGAGTGCTGGTATCGACGCTTGGTGTACAGCCTTTTCTCGCCGGAGGGTGATCAGGCCAGAAACGGCCATACTCAATTCCCTCGAGGGCTCCTATTAGGTACCGTCTAATAAGGTCGCAATAAGCGGGATCATGAAAGGAAGTCTCTGTAAGAAGGATCGCGAACAAGAAAGGACATGAAATGAGGTCGAAAAAGGCCCTTTCTTCGGATGAATTCCCGATCCCGATCAGGTGACGACAGAATGTCTCATCCAAACGCACGATGAGTTGTCTGATCTCTGCTTGCCCCACCGGTGCCGACGGGAGCTACGCCACTTCCCCGCAGACTATCCACTGCTGGCGGGCTTGGCCGGAAAGAGAGCATGGCGAGAGGCTTACCGTCGGCGCAGTTGTGAATGCCCACTTCGGAAAGTTTCAGGTACCTGTCTTAACTTACACAGTAAGGTAGGTATTGTGAGTTCCGAATGGCTAGCAATTCGGCTTCCTTGAGGTGACAGTATCCGTATACAGTAGCCGAATTGCTCGGAGCTACTCTACCCTTTTCCTCCAGCAAATTGAGCATGGATCCTTCAGCCTTGTCTCCCCACCATCACAGAAGTTCCGAGTTTCATCAGGACCGCGCATCGGAACCCTGGTCATTTGCAACGTCGCACTCCACCACGGCATCTCGACTTCATCTGTCTAGGCGCGCCCTCGGCGCGAGATGCGACGACACAGTCACCCTTTGAAGGGCGGATAATTTTGTTGTCAATGCCGCTCACTATCCTGACCCGATCATGGGTGCAATCTCCGGCGCGTACGGTGTACTGTAATTACCGGAAACAGGATTTCGGCAACCGCAGAGAGCGATCATATGTATCTCGGCAGCCGCGAAGCCTGGAGAACCTCCCCTTGCTTTGGGGTTTCCTGTCTGCTTACTGCGTAGGTAGATGGCCCCGTGCAAGAGTGGGATCAGCCGGGGCAGGCCGTCGCCTCTTATGGCTCGGAAAGGGGCCTGATGACAAGCACATTGGCGCCAACAGTAACATCACGTCCTGTCAGTGATAGAAATGGGCTCTGATTACTTGCGAGGGCTCGGGATTTTTCTTCTTGCAACACACAACATCTTCACAAGCACCAGTCATTAGTCGGTCCTTTTGCTCTGAGCCAGGTGCTAGATTCATCAATTCGATCTGTTACACACACCAGATATCCTGTTCACCCTGCATTTCTGGCTGTCCGCGCGGGGGGCGGAGGGTTCTGTCACTCTGCACGAACCAAGACCCCGTCGTCTACATGCCTCAAGTCGACCAGACACACGGACAAGATCAATCAATATCCAGCGAATGGCTGCTGGAACTGACAATAATTCTACGCTGAGCTCCATAAGGGCATGTAAACAGGATGCTACTAATAACATCGTTGTTCAGGGGCAGGTCTCTGGCTCTTTCCCGTCATCGGTCCACTCTGAGCTGCAGGAAAGATGACACTGGTAAGACATAAACATCACCCGTCGTAAAACACATGCTGTGAAGATCATGACAGATCGTAGATGGTGTCATGCTTGGGGAGCTTGGGAGAGCCGTGGTCGTAAGTGCTTGCCGGCTCCAGGTATGTTCAGGGGGCTGGATTGAAGGATGAAGCAGCACAGGATAAAAGGCATTGAGGCAACCAGCATCCGGGGAAGCACACATCTCATCTAGGTCCTCCAACTTCATCGGTGGAAGCAACCGGGCGAAAGCGCTCGAGCCGAAGTTGAGAGTATGGATCGGGATTCGCATGAAGGGGCCATCAATACCCAGCGAGATCATGGGATCATGGACTCAACGAGAAGGCGAATCAGGGGCCCAATCCTACGTATAGTGATGATCTAAGAAAAGCCAACCATGAATACCAGACAGAGACTTCTCATGCTCGCCGTTTCTGCAGCCTCACTGATGCCAAGAGAGAAGATCTCGTCAATGAGCGTGACTCGTTGTTCGCAATGTAAATGCTTCACTCAAACTCCCACTGTGCTAGTCCGCCATGTCAGAATGCCGCGGCCGAGGCTGGCCCGTCGAAGCTGATGAAGCACTTTGACATTGAGCATTGGAAACAAGATGAACTTCCATAACGGGCAGCTGCCCACGTAGGGTCTTCAGGGAGGCGGAGAGCTCTGGCAACCGAGCAGTTACATTCCGGCCCATCGTCCTGTGTAAGCGCCAACCAACCTACCTTACTGTACCAGACCATCACGAACATCGTGCCAGGGGAAACCAACGTGCGATGGCGTTCGAGGCTTGAGATACTGCGGCGACATCCGTAGCATCTCGGGCGTCGAATGGTACGGCAGAACGTCGAGTTCACGCTTTCATTCGCCCAGCCAAAGCTTCATCTCAGACAGGAGCGAGCTCACCGCCTGAATCGGCCGTGCAAGGCAAGCTCAATGAGGAAGAGGGCTATCAGAGCGGCCACCGCTGAGGTCGGGATCAAGAGCAGAAAAAATCGACAACTGGTTCAATGGCTAAGCGCGGCGAGGAGACCATGTTGAACCATCTTCAAGATCGCATGCCTAACGTCATGGCGGCGCCCTAGTCAGCAGGGCTCTGCCTCCGATGGCCGAGATGGAGCTTGAGGTCGAAACAAAGCCAGAGCTCCCTGCATCCGCGCAATCTGGGGTATACACTTGAGAAATGCAGGGTGAACAGGATATCTGGTGTGTGTAACAGATCGAATTGATGAATCTAGCACCTGGCTCAGAGCAAAAGGACCGACTAATGACTGGTGCTTGTGAAGATGTTGTGTGTTGCAAGAAGAAAAATCCCGAGCCCTCGCAAGTAATCAAAGCCCATTTCTATCACTAGTCACACACCCAGGTAGTTTCTTCTATCCAACCGGATGATCAGTCTGTTGACACGGAGAGATTACACCAGCACAGGCCAGCTTCACCCGGACTGGCGTTGACAGGTAGATCCACATCTGCGATGATACAGTTACAGGACTGTAGTCACCTCTCTCCTCGCCTTTGGAAACGCTATTGCTTGCGACCAAGGTCCGATGATTGAAGTCATTATGCAAACCTGTGCCTAGGGTCGGATTCCCAAGATGATCGCCGATCAACTCAGCAGCGCTGAAGAGGTGACTCGTGCTGTATTCTGCGGCCCTTTGTTGAGGTTTCCCAGCGTACAGCGCCTCATCGCTTGTCGGCCGAGCCAAATCCCTCCCGGGTCCCTGTGCATCTGGCGGGGGCGACGAGGCTAGCCTCTAAGACAACAACACGCCGCGGCCAGGTAAGCTGCAAAATCATCAACACATCCATCGCCAGCAGTAGACACCTTGGTCGTATCTGCGGATCCCTTCCGTTGGCTGAACCTGTGGAACCTGACTGTCGTCGAGCCTCATTCTCTCGGCATCAGAGGACATTAGCAGATTGGTTAAGGACGGGTGATGCCAATTGGAGCGAGGACAAAGAAAGATGCAATAGGCATTGGATGTCAAAGACTGCGTGGCGATTCACGGCTCGATGCCCACTCCGAAACTGGTATGTAAAGTCCAGACTCGAGCGGGCCGTCAAGCTTATCGAACCGTCAGAGTATCTGGTTTCTGAACACAGCAGGAAGATACGGCGTCAGAATTTGCGGCGGTGATGGGCGTTAGATCAGTCTTCCCCTTGGTCCAGGCTTGGTTGTAATGAGCGTGGCGTGCTGTTGGGGAGGACTCTTACTCCTGGCATGTATGATCACAGCAGGTCCTTCAGCCCTTCATGATCGGCTGTAAATTTATGTTCCTGGGGAATGTGTGCAGCGGGTTGACCCGAGGACGAGGACAAAGTCCAGCCCCTTCACAGCCTCGAAAACAGCTTGAGGGGGAGGACTTGTTGAAGGAGATCGGGTTCATCCTTTGACCTGTGGGGCGTGCGAATTTTTGGGCCAATCACGGCTTGCCAGGGAGCTTCGGCCCCACACGGACCCCGCACGAGCCCGGCCGACCCCTGGTCGCATGATTCCCTGAATCGCTAAATGTCCCCCTTATAATTTCTTTTCTTCTCTCGGCTTCCACCAATTCGAAAGGGAGCTTAGCTCAGTTGGTATTAGAGTGTGAGTCTCATAGTAAACTATCGAGATATCTCAAGGTCGTGAGTTCGATCCTCACAGTTCCCATTCACTTTTGCCGCCCTCCCGAAGACTTGTGGGCTGGGCCTTTCCACTCTGCGGGCTCGGAGCCGCTTGGCTCTTTTTGCAGGTGCTTATCTAGCTGTATAATGTGATGGCTGGCAGTGGGTGGTCGCTGTGTTGCTGTTCGAGTCCAACTCTCACGGGCACTTACACCGTTCCCCCTGACTCGGTAAAGGTATGGTCAAGAAGTTGGTTCACACGCCGAGGCAATACTTCAAGAATGGAAAGGTGCTCACTTAAGGACCGTTCTACTAATTATCCTACGCTCGCGACATTGTCAGTGCCTGTATCTGTTTGACCCTGTCTAACCATACCCGGATGAAGTCTTACATGGGTCGGCCACACCAAAGTTGCTGGCACCCGCTATGAAGTCACCACATCACCTTAGGGTCATTGCGCATGCAAAGCACTGCGCACTCAAAGTCCGATTGAACTTCCAAGAGCCTAGCTCTGACCGAATTGCTCAAAAGGCAATCAACTAAGCGCCAGTCTACCGGAACCAGTCCGCCGCCCGCGAATCGACTCAGTTCGGTTGCCGACGTGTCGCCCGTTGTAGGGTCTCGCTGCTGGAATTCGAAGTCGTCGCGCTTAGACCGGTAACCGCATTGTGTGTTGCCGCGGGTGACAGTCGGCCGCGTATGGGCGGGTCCAATAATCGGATTGTCACCTCTAACACTTGGGCAGAATAAAGCAGTCGTCTTTTCGCTGCAGGAGGGATGCGTAAAAGGGGAATTAGGAGCATCGTCTGGGGTTTGAAATGTGCTGGAGCCGCCTCTCTGTGTTTGGTAGGCAGTGCGATACCGACACCCTCTTCTTCCTCGTCCTTTGCTTTTGTTCTTTTGGAATTGATTCCATTTGCTTGACTACGTACTTGCTGCTTGTATTGTCGGGGCAGTCTGGTGTACTGGTTCTTTTGACTGTGGGGTGCCTCCCAATCTACACATTTATATCTTTCCTCCCCTACCAATACACACCGCCCCCTTTCCCATCCCTTCCCCCCCAAAGCTCGAGCCCGCCTTTCACCCCCTCATCCCCTTCACCTTCCTCCCCTTCCAGTATCCTAACCAGCCCTCCCCGTCTCCTCTCCCCCATCCACCGGTCAATCCACGCCTTCATCCTCCGCCTGCTCGCCTCGCTGCCCACATTGACAGTCGGCACGACCCGCTCGATCCGCAGCGCCATCAGGAACAGCGCCAGCTCCCGGAAACTACTGTGCTCGCTGTACGGCACGCCGAAGCACAGCACCTCCTTCCCGCTGCCCCGCTGCGGCACCAGATCCCGCACGCCAAACCGCGTCCGCCACCCGGGGCCGTGCAGCAGCTGGGTGGTTGGGAGGGAGCCGGGCGCGAGGTTCGCGGCTACGGCCGGAGCGCCAGCCGTGCCGCCGCCGTTGCCTTTCCCATTCACCGCGCCGGGTCCCGACGGCCGGTAATTCCACCCCGACGGCCGGAACCCCACGATCCGGCCGAACTCGCCGCGGACCTTGTACGCTTCGAGATACTCAGCCAGTGTCTCGGCGCGAATCTCCATGATCATCTGCATGTGCACCTGTGCTTCGCAGGGGTCGCAGGTGAGGAGCGAGGAGAGCTCCGGGTCGTCGAGCTGCTTGCACATGCGGATCTTGGCGGGCGTGGCGTAGATCTTGGTGTGGAGCGCCTTGGCGATGGCGACGCAGATGCGTTCTTTGCCGATGCTATAGGTGCCGCAGACGACGAGGAGGCGGTTGGGGTGGTGGGGTTTGCCGTTGGGGGCGGAGAAGGCGTTGCCGGGAAGAAGTGAGGATGGAGTGGCTGGGTTGTTGGAGGTGGTGGTAAAGAACTTGGTAACGCTCTCATTGTTGGAAGAGCCGTTGCCGCCACGTTCTCGTCGCCGCAGCAGGGCGTCCCACTCGCGATTGTCGTTCGCTAGGAGGCCTTTGTTGAGCAGGGCACAGAGTTCAGCGCAGGCACTGATCACATCGTGTTGCGGAGGGAATGAGTAGCGAGGGTTCAGGTAGGTGGTGTCAAGGTAACACACATCGATCTTCTGCTGCTTCGTCCGGCCAGAGAGCGCATCGACCATCTCCGGGCGCAGTTTCGGGTGCTCGACGTGGGCGGGACAGGCACGGAAGTCGCCACAGTGAAGGATCCGCTGGGTTTTCCCGCCAGTCGTCTTCTCAAAGAGGAAGAGGGAGCTTCCCGGGCAGTGGTTCGCTGGGATCATGGTAACCGTAACGTCCTTGGCTTCTGGGACTGGCACCGTCTCCTCAAACTCCAGCTCGACGACGTACTTTGCTGCCGTCCGCAGCTGCGACTTGACCAACGACCCAGTTACCTTGCTGCAGTAGATAGGCCCATGCGTCCAGTTCGCCGTCAGGCCCATGTAGTGATCACTGTGAAAGTGGCTAAGGAAGTACGCTTGGCAGCCTTCAACGGCCCCATAGCGGAAGGCATCAACACAGATGGAGAACCCGGGCATGATCTTGTAGAAGGGACACGTTCGTTTATACGCGGGCATGCCCTTGGACGCGTTCTCCGCTGCGGCAGCCGTTGCCCACGCTGCATTCTCGGCATGGCCGGACATGAGCTTGGTAAACGCCGAAGTTGACAATCCCTCTCCCGCGTCGTCCCCAAGGCTGATGGGATTTGACCGCCCCGGGCGTGCCACAGCAGCTTTGACGAACCGCTTGCTCATAGTTGCAGCCTCAGTTTCAGTCTCAACCTCAATAACAGTGCCTGGCGGATCCGGCAGGGGCGTGGGGTTGCCATCGAGACAGGAGTTGACGTGCGCTGTCGCCTCGTCTGGTGTCGCACCAGCCAGACTACCGTTGCAGACTGGACAGCCCTCCGCCATGGCGTTTCCGTTGCCATCGCTTGTATCGTAATCTTCTCCTCCCTCTTCCGCCTCCAACCGTGCCTGCTCTTCCATGTACTGCATCATCATTAGCTCCTCGCCGGTGAAATCCCCGTCTTCGAATAGGTCGACATCCTCGCTGTCCAAAACGCCTCGCTGTGTGTCGTCGCCATCGTCACCCCCGAATTTGGCTCCTGACGTCTGCTGTCTCAGAAGTGGTACCCTGGAACTTCTCTCTCTGTTGGTAAGCTCGGCCGGCCCGGAATGCTTAATCTTCTCGCTGGAATCGTTACCCAACGCAGACTGTGGCGGCCTCACCCTTGCTGTAGCTTCCGCCGAAGCTGGCTCGTTTTCCTTGTCGTCGTCTTCATCATCGTCGGAAGAGTCCTCGAGGAACGGATTTCCTGCCTTCTTTTTCCTGTTATTTGAAGCTCCTGAAGCGGCTGGCTTCGTGTTCGATGTTATTTGCTCGACAGCCTCTGATGACTCCGAATCCTGCCTCTGTCCTTGGCTCTCGTTCTCCTGTTGCGCTCTTTGCGGACTGGCACTTTGACCGAGAAGAGCATTGGAGGGACTCAACTTCCTCCTCTTAACGGAGCCACCGTTTTCATTGAACCTCTCCTCTCCGCCAGCCTCGCCCCTTTGCTCACGCGGCGGGGTCGAGCGGTAGAGATCCTCCTCTTCTCCCGCCTCAGGGACGACGTCGATTCCACAGCTATCCTCTCTCCCTCCCTCAATAAAAAGTGCCTCATCTTGTTCAGGCGCCTTCTTGAAGAAACTCAGAATACTCTGGTTCGGCTTCGTTTTGGGTTTCGACTTTGGCTTAGTGCCAGAAGATGACGGTGTAGACTGCCTGGACGCGGGCTTCTGTGGAGTTCTCAGTCGGGTTTGGGACAATTTCGATTTCGTTGACGGCGCCATGATCTGTAATTTTACCCGAGCGAATTTGGTCCGCCGGAGGGAGGGGCATCCGTAAACTAAGCTTCTCAGAGAAGCGAAGTGCCCAGTGCGGACGCGTTGTCAGGTTTGGAAACGGAAAGGTGGGGTGTTACAACGCCCGAGAGCCTCGCGCTGTCACGTGGTCAGTTTCGGCTCAAAGGGCCCCTGGCAGACGGTGCGAAGCACATGCAAGACAACACAGATATAACGGCGGTCACGGAAGTTCCAAATAGTCTCACACGTGCGCTGGGAATGCCCAGCAAGTTGAAGACTAACCCGGCCCAATCTGTCTCATTCTATTTGAGTTTTGACCATTCCCCCGTTTGCCCCCTTATTGTTGTCCACCCCCCGTCCTTTCCGGTCCCTCCTATCCTCATTTCGAGTGTTTATTCCTCCGCAACCTCACCGGCCTCCTCCTCTGCCTCAGGCGCCTCCTCGTCGTCGTCCAGCCCGCCAGCCGGGACCTCATACAGACGCAGAATGCTCTTGTTGGGGTCCTTGACGAGCACGTACTTGCCCTCGTCGCGCTGCAGGCACATGTCGGCGATGGTACGAACGATGCCCCAGCCGTTAGACAGCTGCAGGTTCATCTGGTTGGCGAAATCCTTGGGCTTCCAGCCGATGACGCCGAGGATGACGTGTTTGTCGTTCACCTTGGGCGAAACGCGGGAGACGAAGCTGCAGCACGGTTAGCTGGACGTGGTTCAGGATTGCTGTCGAAAGGTTAAACTCACCCAAGCTTCATGACATCAGCCTTGGCCAGAATGCTCTGCACAGTCCACCGCGCCAGCTTGCAGCTGTTGTTCTTCATCTCCGTGGCGACCACGGCACCCCGCTGCGACACGAGCTTCGTCCGCCAATCCAGCCCGCCGCCGCTGCCCTGGGCCTTGTTATCGAACTCATTCAGCGCATGGACAGTCACAAACTGGTCCTCGCCGTTGATGGCGTTCTTCTGTACCGCGTCGAGCTCGGTGCGGACGATCAGGTACGTCGGATCCTCCTCGCTAGTCGATAAGTCGAACCGCCGGTACTTGTATGCCTTGGACGCGGGCGGCTCCGTTTCGTCGGACGCGCTGTAGAAGGGGTTCTCGTGCGCCATCTCGACCTTCTGGTTCTGGCTCTCCAGCAACACCTGGTTGGCGAAGTTGTGGTTAATGTAGGTGGCCTCCTCGGCGAGCGCAGCGGGCTGGTTGATGGGGTCCTTGGAACCCTCG